TCCTCCTCCTCCTCCTCCTCCTCCTCCTCCTCCTCCTCCTCCTCCTCCTCCTCCTCCTCCTCCTCCTCCTCCGCCCTCCTCCTCCTCCTCCGATAGACCAGCGATGGGCCCCCGATGCCGAAACCTCACGTTCCTGGGCGGGGTGGAGGCGCCCCACGCCCCGATCGGCGATGAGCTGGTTGGCGAGTGGGGGCGACGCTGCCGGAGAAGCCAGCAGCGGCACGAGCAGGAACCCTCAGGGGTCCACGCGGATGTGTTCTTTTTTGGTCGCGGCCGCAGGCGAGAGCGCAAGCGGCGAGTCGAAAATCCGGGGCGCGGGCCTACTAATTGACAACAGGAGCATACTAGAGCCGCGCACTAACGCGGGTGGATTCGCGCTGCACCCCCCTGGCAGCGCCGCCGGCGCCGCCCCTAGCGCGTTCCGCGCGGCGCGGAAGCGGCGGCGGCGACGGCGGCGACAACGGTGGCGCTGATGGCGGGCGACGGGCGGCGCAGGGCAGCGGGCGCTGGGTGGCGCGGCGGGCGGCAGCGACAGCGGCGGTGGGCGGCGGGCGGCGGACGACGGCGGGCGACGCGGACGCCTTGTGCAGCCCGGCCAGCACCGGGCCTGGGATGTTTTTGGCCACGTCCAGCCCGCTGCGGAGGTGCGGGTTGAGCTGGTTGTGGTCCCTCCCCATGCGAGACCGGCAACTGTTCCCCAACCTTGGCCAGGTCCATCCCGAGCCAGTGGCTGGCGTGCGTATTCACATGTGTGTAGGTTTACCTTCAGATGTGTTTTTTGTTAGGTTTACCTTCAGATGTGTACATGTGTGTTGGCGTGCGTACCTACCTGTCAATATACAGGCACACATACGTGTTCGCCAACGCAGTCACAGACCGTCATGCACGCATGCAAATCTTACAGATATGCGTGCATACAAACACGCATGCATGCATGAATGAACGCGTGTAAACGTATGTGTATATGCGTGTATGTATAGTATATGTGCATGCGCTCGGACATGACTATGCATGTGCACATGTATAAATATAAATATAAATATATATATATACACATGTATATGCTTGTATGTCTATGCACGTATATATATATATATATACACCCACCACCAAGCCTCGAGGCAAGAAGAGGGCGTCTTCAGGCCCGCAGGGCGCCTCGATCCCCAATATTGGTAAGCACTCGTCCAAGGACCAAAGGCACAAGACCAACACAACTACGCATTTGTTTCTGGCGTCGCGGCCACGTGCGCGGCGGTGCGGCGCAGGTCAAGTCAAGCAGTAGACCGCCAGACAGCCGACCCAAGAGTCATCGCGCTGTCCTGCCAAAAGTTCTCAATGAATATCTCGCCTGAAAACGAAAACACATTCCTGGAAAAAACACGCGTCAAATCACCCTAGTGGGCGAAGCCCTTCCAACGTTCCATATGACACTCCCGCTCGAATAAGCAAGGAAGGGCGACATCGGGAACGTTTGGGCTCCCATCTCGAAGTGCCGGGCGCGAGATCCCAGCGCGGCTGGGGGGTCAGCGTTTGGTCCAACGCGAGTTGGCATTCCCAGACCGCGCCCAATGTTCCAAGGGCGACGCGCGCTTCGTCTGCGCGCAGGCACAGGGGCGCAAATGCGCAAGGGGCCACACGCGCGAAGACCTGGCGTGGGACCGCGAATACGCGACGCGATTGCATGCGAGTACACGTCGGTCGGAAGAAGTAGGTAGAAACATGAAGTAGAAAGTCGTATGAAGTAGATTGGGTTCAGGCCCCCCCAGAGAACAACAAAACACAGCAAAAGCGTGTCGAGTCTTGAAGTAGGAAGGCGCTTGAAGTAGATTGGGATCTGGGAATTCAAAAATACCTACTTTCAAAGACCGGCGTGTGCGCGACGCGATTGCGTGCGAGCACGCAGCACTGGACCACCCGCGGCGTCCTGCGTCTGCGCCGACGGAGAGCGCGCCCACCGGGAGAAGGCCCCAAAGAGACGCGCGCACGGGCCGCAGACTACCCCGACGGCATCGGGGCGGGACTTCGAAGGCCAAACGGCCCCCCGCTCGATCGCGGGAAGAGTTCCCCCGAGGGCGCCCACGGCAATCTGGGCCCGCCGGGGACGAGTCTGGGACCCTGGCGGGGGCGCTCTTTCCCAGGGGGCACGCCCTCCGTCGCGGGCGGGTCGCTTCCAGGGCAAGCCCAGCAAAACGCTTGTCACAGAGGTCGCACCTCCAGCGCAGGAGTTGCGCAGTGTCCGTCGCAGACGGCGTACCCCTGGCGCAGAATGACCAACGCCGCGCTGCTGGACCCCTCTGCGAGCGGGCCCAAGGCTCTCCGCGGAGGGCATTGGTCGCCAGCCTTCCTCCATCTCGCAAGGAGTCGCACAACGTCACCCGTTTGGGCCATTTCCTTCATGGCCAAATTCGGACGGGGAAAAACAAATTGATAACCATAGTGAATTCTTAGCGAATTTCTGAGGGGCACCATCCATCTAGACTCACAGGGCTGGGGGGACGTCAAGAAGTCAGCAAAAATGAAATGCTCCATAAAATTCCCGTGGAAACCCTGTGGGAAAACGGAGAATTCTCCAGGAATTCCCGCACCCCCAGGGTGCCCATCTTCAGAGGAGGGCCGAGTACTCTCACTCGGAGTCTCTGGCGTTGGAGGCGTCACCAGAGAGCCCCATGAGAACCTCCCGACAGTGGCACCCAAGGGGGCGCTCTGGATGTCAAAGTCGGGGCGCCCTCTAGCGGCTCTGTCGAGTCCCTCCGACGCCCCCCCGAAGCCTCAGGAACGCCCCAAGAAGGGCCCGAATAAGGTCCAAGAGAGCCCCAAGAGGGCCCAAAGAGAGAGCCCCCCGACAGTGACATCCAAGAGGGCCGTCTGGACGCCACTGTCGGGGCGCCATCGTGCGGCTGTCTTGAGCCTCTCCGACGCCCCCCTGAAATCCTAGGAACGCCCCAAGCGGGGCCCAAGGAAGGCCCAAGAGAGCCCCGAGAGGGTCCTGCGCGAGCCCCGGAGAGTGGCATCCAAGAGGGCCGTCCGGACGCCACTGTCGGGGCGCCATCGTGCAGCTGTCTTGAGCCTCTCCGACGACCTCCTGAAATCCTAGGAACGCCCCAAGCAGGGCCCAATGAAGACCCAAGAGAGCCCCGAGAGGGTCCTGCGCGAGCCCGGGACAGTGCCATCCAAAGGGGCCGTGTGGACGCCACTGTTGGGACGCCCTCTTGCGGCTCCCTTGGGCCTCTCCGACGCCCCCCTGAGGTCCCAAGACCGCCCCCAGAAGGGCCACAGAAAGTCTCAAGAGAACCCCAATCGGGCGTTGGCAGAACTAGGTTGAGTGGGACCTGGTTTAGTGATGTGTACTGGGGGACGCCCCCCCCGCCCCGTTCCACTAACCGGAACTGCCGTCACCCGAAAGAACACCAGCTACGGCAGACCTAGTCTAGTGATTCTGGCCCATTTAGGGGCTCCAGGGCCCTACTACTAACCGGGTCCCTTACCTGGGGTCCTGGCTATACCCGACCCAAGAGGGCCACAAGAAAGCCCCCAGACAGTAGCATCCAAGGGGGCCGTCTGGTCCCCACTGGCGGGACGCCCTCTCGTGGCCCTCTTGCGCCGCCCCGAAGCTATCCTGAGGTCCCAGGTCTCAGGTCTCCTGGGGTCATGCTGCGGCCAGGCCACAGTTTCTCTGCTCCACGGGCGCGCTGCTCCTGATCGCAACGTTTCAAAGTACTCCTGCGACAGCACAAAGGACACGCAAAAAAAAAACACCAGAAACATCACACAATAATACCAGTCAACATCGATATGCACATCCTCTCAGCCGGGCAGACGACAAGAGGCGCTTGAGATGCCCCCAGGGGGCAACCGAGACACCTCCTCCAAGAGGCACCGGCCCCAAGAGACCTCCAACAGGCCCCCAAGAGGGCTCCCAAGAGACCACAAGAAGCCTCTATAAGATGCCTCTTGTCCACGACCCAGGAACGATGGTGGGATAGGCCGAACGAAGGCCACTAGATAGTCAGTAGGACAACATTCGCGCTTCGCGAGCGGCTCGGGATAACGACATGTGCACCCCCAAGCTGCGAAAGTGGAAATCATCCTGGTACTCGTCTTAGGTCGGGCATGTCCTCCTGCAGGTGGATTTGAAAGAAAAACTTAAAATCGAGGGACATGCCCGACTTAATACTCGTCCTCATCTTGTATATGAGGCAGCGGGGTCTTGCGGGAAACGGGCCCGGGAGCCTGGGGAGTTCCCCGACACAAACTTCTCATTCTGTGTCGTCTTTACAACGTCCCAGGGGCCAAGGATGGGAGGTCCCGAGGAGGCCGAAAACGGAGGAGAACCAGGGGCACCCCTGTCCGTCAGAACACCTACTCTTCATGATGGTCCTCCTCTTGCGTCCCCAGATGCCCCTGGCCCTCCTGACGGAACCCTCCTCCAGGTCGGTGAAGAAGGGGTCGTGGAACATGTTCTGCTTCTTGCTGCCGCTGCGCGCCGATGGGTCCTTGAACTCCCGGCTGCTCAGCTTGGCGCCTGCCCTCCGCGGCAGACGAAACACCGCAGCGCCGCGGACGAGCGCCGTGCGCGGGTGCAGAACTGCCCAGAGTGCAGAAAAGCGACCCTCGTGATAAGCAGGCCCGCCAAACGAGGCCGTTTAGCAAATGCACCCACAGAAGGAATCGAACATGGCGGGGCTGCGTAGCAAATGTCCAGGGCCGTTCAGCAAACGCCAGGGGACAATTGTTCCCCCCTTGACGGCCAGCCCAAACCTACGGGCCCAGAAACCGTCTGGAGACGGACCGCGTAGTGACCTCGGAATCCCCCGAGACCTCACCGCGCGGTCCGCCGCCGCACGGTCTTGAGACCCTGGAGGCCCCAGTCGTCCGAGACGCCCTCGGAGAACGGCCCGAGTCCCAAACCCGCGCGGTGGCTCCGAATCCCCACGGACTCACTGCGCGGTGTGGTCACCACACCGTTTGGGGGTCCTCGACAGACCTTCAACGTCTCGTTCTTTTCACGGCATGGGCGCGAGGACGTGCTTCCCCCTCCCCGAGTCGAGAGCGTTTGCGTTCCTCCGGGCTCCCAGCTCTGACCGCAGGAGGAGCGTTGCGGGAAGAGCGCCTCAGGGGAGGAAGCATCGAGCTGGAATCGGCGATACATCGCCTGCAGATCGGCGATGAGCCCCCAGAAGAAAAGCCGCACGGGGCGGGGTGGGCTGCTGGGCACCTATGGGCGATCGATTGGCGATCGGAGGTCGACGCTTTCCCCCCTGAGCCTGGCCCCCTCCTGACGTTGCCCCTTGGTTTTCGGGCCTATGACTCGGCTCACTGGCGGCCGTCCTGGACAGTCTGGGCACCCCCGGAACGCTCCTGGCGAGGCGCAGCTGCTGCTAGGCATCCCGAGGCTGGAAAACTGCCGGGAACTGATGAGAACGTCCGAAAACCTGGGGTCGACCCTATACACCCCTTGAGCGCGGCCACCGCCTCCGGCGTGGCCGCGCAGACCTGGGGGGGGGGAGGAGGAGGAGGAGGAGGAGAGGAGGAGGAGGAGGAGGAGGAGGAGGAGGAGGAGGAGGAGGAGGAGGAGGAGACCCCTTGACGTTGCTCCTGATGCTCGTGCCTCACGCTGCCTGTCTGGCAGACTGGCTGCCCGCCCGCGCCGAGCGTGGGGGCCGAGCAGCCGGGGGGGGCCTGCTCGTGCGGCTCGCCCTCGGGCACGCCGAAGAGGTGGGGGGCGGGGGGGGCCGTCCCCGATATGTGGATGCACGGCTTCTTCCCTATTGCGTCCTCCTCCTCCTCCTCTCCTCCTCCTCCTCTCTCCTCCTCCTCCTCCTCCTCCTCCTCTTCCTCCTCCTCCTCCTCCTCCTCCTCCTCCTCCTCTCCTCCTGCTCCTCCTCTTCCTCCTCCTCCTCCTCCGCCTCCTCCGCCGCCTCCTGCGCCTCCTCCTCCTCCTCCACCTCCTCCTCCTCCTCCTCCTCCTCCTCCTCCTCCACCTGCCAGATCCACGCATCCCCAATTTAGACGCAGCCAGGGCGAGGATGAGATCGAGCGAGGATGCATCGAGAAGCTCTGAGATCCGGCGGCACTGGAGGATGTCTCGGGCGCCGCAGCCCTCTCAGAGCGTCCCAGCGCGCTACGAGAGCGGTTCGGAACGCTCTAGAACGGATTCATCCTCGTCCTAGCCCCGCCCGACAAGAGGAGGAGGAGGAGGAAGAAGAAGAGGTCGTCCTAGCCCCACCCGACAGGAGGAGGGGGATGAGGCGGAGGAGAAGGAAGGGGAGACGGAGGAAGAGGAGGAGGAGGAGGAGGAAGAGGAAGATGAGGACCAGTGTAAACCCAAGAGTCATCAACGATGCTGGAATAAACCCTCCGTCCAAGCTCCATCTTCATAGGCCACTACAACGGTTCACTTCCACTGAAGGAACTGCCTCGTTGGAAGACATACGTTTGAAGACCCTGAAGCATGCCAAAAAATTGTTCTCGGGATTCCAACGCCACGGATCAACCTGACTGTTGCTTCTTGACGATCCTGAATCGTGCCAGAACACCAATTCCTGGGACTTCAACACCGCGGATCAGCGTAATTGGCTTGGTTCGCCTTAAATATGCCCAGGGCGATGTTTTAGCGCTTTCAGCTCGGCGTTTGGAAATGACGGTTAGCGTTTGTGGTCTCAACAAGAAATCTAAAAACGCTGTTAAGATTGATGCGTTGCTTTAGCGTGTTCAAACCATGCGTTTTGCGCTGCCATCCTGAAAGCGCCAAAGAAACGTTAAACAATACCGAAACTACAGCCCAAAAAACGCGGAAAACACGTAGCGTGCTGTTTTACCGTTTTCAGCCTGTCAAGAGCTCAGAGTAGAAAACGCTACAGAAAACGCCCAGGGCGTTTTAATGCGAAACCATGGAACTGTTGCGCCTTCAAAATCCTGAACCCTTCCAAAACACCACTCCTGGTACGTTGATCAGGGGAGTCCGTGAAACACTTGCACATGCTAAAAACAAATGCGCGAGGCGCTGAGGCGAGAGCCACATGTTGCAAACAAGCGAATATGCGCGGCGCTACGGCGAGAGCCACCTTTTGCAAACGACCCGTTCTCAATCCGTGAAACCCTTGCAAATGTTTAGACCAAATGCGCGCAGCGCTGAGGCGAGAGCCACATTTTGAAAATGGCCCGCCCTCCCTCGGAGAAACTGCTGCCAATGTTTAAGCTTCAGGGTCATAAATGATGAGGAAGTCTCAGGCGAAACGCCTTTGCCGCCCTAAAAACTGGCTTCGGGGTGCGACAGGGCGAGTAATGGATGAGGAGGAGGAGGAGGAGGAAGAGGATGAGGAGCAGGAGCAGGAGGAGGAGGAGGAGGAGGAGGAGAAAGAGGAGGGATGAGGAGGAGGAGGAGGAGGAGGAGGAGTTCACTACCCAGAGGGGAAAGTCAGAAGGTGGAGAGAGAGAGAGAGAGGAAAACTGGGGCAGAGGGCCCATCCGAGGAGAACTGTTCGTCCCCGCCAGGGGCTGCGCCTCACCTCGGGCGGACCCAGCCGACAGGGCACCCACCCCCACCCCCCAAAACTGGCCCGAGTCCTCGGACGCTTTCGCGCTCGGGGAGGAGGAGGAGGAGGAGGAGGAGGAGGAGGAGGAGGAGGAGGAGGAGGTGGAGGAGGCGGAGGAGGAGGAGCGCGGGGGCCCTTGCCGCCGCTCGGCCCGGGGGAGCCTGTCGACCAAGCGCCTTGGCCTCTTCCAGGGGGGCCCAAGGACACACAAACGAGTGCACACGAATCCCAGGATTCCCCATTTTTTACCAGCCTCGAACGTATCCCTATCCCTAAGGAAGACACGCCAAAAGGCGAAGACAATCTTAGGGATTCGCCCTCAAAAAATAAGGGAATCCCTAAGATTGGCATCGTGATGAGGAGGTGCCCAGCATAGGGATAGGGATATGCTCCAGGCTGGTAAATATTGTTCCATAGTTTCTGGGACTTCGTCTTCCCCCCCACGTCCCATGTTTTCCCAGATTATCCTGGGAGTCGGCGATTCATTGTGTCTGTGTGTTTTTGTTTCCCCTCCTGATTCTTCGCGAGAGCGAAACGAGAGAGAGCAGCACCGAATCCGGACCGAGGCGGCGCACTCTCTTCTTGGGCTTCGCGGATGCACCTGCCAAAGGCTCCTCCTCCCTTGGGAAGGGAAACTGGCCGTGGCTGGCCCTCCGGACTGGAGCCAAATATGCTGCGTCGGAGCTGCAGTTACAACAGTGACCGTCCCACCTAACTACCTGCCCCCAGCTCCTCCTGCGCTCGGGCCGGCCAGTCTTGCCAGCTGGTCCGAATCCAGACCGAGGCGGGGCACCACGGGCCGCTTCGAGAACGGAGCAGTCCTCGGAGCCCTGGAGCCAACCTCGGCCCCGACGGGGGGCCTCCCCGGAAGTGTTCCGGGGAGCGGGCCCGCGTCACGACCGGCGGGGCCGGCGGAGGCCCCAGGGCCACGAGAGGGAAAAGAGCAGGGCGAAGACCGTCCCTAAGCCTTTTCCGCACAGTATACGCCGACCCTCCAATGAGTCCTCTCTGCAGTGGGGCGGTCGCATACTACCAGCACGCAGGACAGAGTACCATTGGTTCAACCTCTGGAACAGCACGCTGGGCAACGCAATGCTGATTGACGCACCAAGGCTGGACGCTTTTATGCCGCAGCCACGGGGGGTCATCTGAGGCGGACCCAGGAGGAGCCGAGGCAGCAGCGGCACCAGCAGGAGGCTCGGGGAGGGGAGGAGGACCCAGGGACTCCGCCTCAGGAACTTCTTCCACCGAAACCCCTTGGAAGTCGACAAACCTCAAATCTATTTTCTTGAGGTCGCCGATTCCACATGTCCAAGGAAGTGTTATTTTGGTTTGGAACATGTTCAAAGAGGTATGGGACAGTCCATTCGCAGTGTCCGTCAACGACTCTGCTCCCTAATGACAATTGGCGGCGAGCTCGCAGTGCCGGCACATGTGCTCCCCGATCATGTGACCCGCGAATGGCACGGGGAGTGGGCTGGGTGGGAGGAGCTGCATCAGAGCCCCGAGATCGCAGATCTGCTGGACAGCTCGAACACGTTGGTCGCCAAGGCAGCGGCCAGCATGAAGGGATCGAAGGGCGGCGTCAAGGGTCAGTCGAAGGGGGCCAGCCGCCCCAGAAAGTAGGAAACACCCAACGAAGTTCATCGGCACCAGCAGTCGACAATACTGCAACTATGAGCTCAAATCAGTTGAGAATTCGATCCACAACTCCGCACACACCTTCACAAACTTCATGTAAATATGCGTGCACTTCGGGAGCCGTTGGCGTCCGGGACGGCGGCCCTGACCGAGGAGAAGCCGACAGAGATAGACACATACTTCGTCAATCTGGGGACCTATCGTGGGGGAGGCCTCGGAGATTTTCTAGCCCGCGCTGCGCGAAACTGATTGGCACTTGGAACGTAGAGGGCTTGAGGGGTGATTCGATTATTAAGCTGGCAGAGCTGCAACGCGCAACGCAACAGCAAGACATTGATATGTTTTGCACTCACGAAACACACCTCCATGGAGCCGAATATTATGAGCAGGACGGTTACCTCATCTTTCTATCCGGGGCGGAAGTTGGTTCACAGTGTCGCCTCGGGCACGCCCTGTCGTCGTCGCCGTCAAAGCTCACTGTGATCGCGTGGCGACTCTTCGCATGCGAGCGCACGGGGGCAGATTGACACTCCTATCAGCCTATGCTCCTCAATCCGGGCACGATTTCGAGAAGCGGCGGAACTTCTTAACGCGCTCGAGGCGATCATCCGGCCGACCACGGACCACAGCATAACATACGCGCTCGGGAACTCCCGACGCTCGTCTACGTCACGTGGGAGCATTCGAGGACCATTATATCGGGCCCTTCGCGTTCAAGGCGGCGCCCCGGCATGACGACCAGCGCAAGGAGCTCACAACTTCGAACCGGCAGCTTTTGGTCGATTCTTGCGAGGCGTGTGATCTCATCATTGCAGACACCTTCTTCGACAACCCCCCAGACATACAAGTTTCATATCGTGATTCGGGACGCACCCTATTGAGGCAATATATTCATAACGTTTCGCCCAAGTCGATCATGAAGTACGCCACCGGGGTGCTCTGCCTACGATCACCAATTGCCAGGCAAGCCGATCAGTCGCACTGAACAGACACCATTCCATCACGATCGCAGAGACGACCGTGAACTTCAGAAAAAGAGGCCTGGGCCCGGCCCAAAAGAGATCAATCGACAAACCTGCGCTTCGACACCCAGGCCTCCGAGCTGAATCCACGCAGAGGTTTACGGAATCGTCTGCTGACCCGGCGTGTTCAGTGGACGGACCTGCTGAGGACCTTCAGGCCGCTTTCGCTCCTGCTGCCGGTGCGCTTCCGGACAGTGGCCCCCCCGCTAGGCGGCCACTCGCCATCGCTCGGACGTCCATTCCCTGTGTTTTTGTTCGGTTTCGTGCGTGTTTTTTTCGCCAAGTGGTCAAGGATGCTCCTCGATGGGCCTCGCCGAAGGAAAAAATGCACACGTCCGAGCGATGCGAGGGCCATGGACGAGCCGAGCTGCGCTGGAGCTGACTTCGCGCCGGGGCGCCCGTCGCAGGGCCGCCGACCGCGAGGGCGAACGCGGGCTCCACCGGGTGCCTCCGCAAGCCCAGGGCGGTCAAGCATGCTTGCAGCAGGAAGCCAGGCGGCAGTCTGAGTGACTCGGCGGGCAGGGCAAATGTGATGGCTGGCCAGTTCAAGCAAGGACAGCGGCAACGACGCTTCGACAGCGAGGGGCCAGCAAGTGCCGCGCGGCTTGGGCCCAGGCTGCCAATCGCCACACCGTCGTTCACGCTGGCCGAACTCCGGAGAGCTCTCGGCAAACTGAAGGCTGGGAAGGCGGCTGGCCCCGACGACGCCCCGTCAGGCTTTTGGAAGGCAGTGGCAGAGGACGATCTTGCATGTGCCGTTCTATTCGGCGTTTGCCAGTAGCGCTGGACTCGTGGCAGCGTACAAAAAACTCGCTCTTGTTCAAAAAGGGCGACGCTACGCTCCCAGCGAACTACCGCCCCATCTCATTATTGCCGGTCGGATACAAAGTCCTGGCCTCGATGCTGCACCGAAGGCGGATTGGTGGAGGCGCCGACGCAAGGATGCGGAACTCGCAGTGCGGATTCCGACCGGGCCAAAGCACTGCAGACGCACTGATGCTGGTGAGGCGCATGATAGACGCTGCGCACAACAGCAACTCGGACGGGATGCTGCTCTTGATGTTGGACCGGGCGAAAGCATTTGACAGACTGAATCCAGACGTCATGTGCGCAGCTTTGCAAAGGTTTGGGCTGCCCGTGGAGATGGTGATCTACGAAATCTGGCATTTCGTCATACACGATCACACGGGCTCATCTTCAGAGAGACGCCAACGCGCAGGAACTGCCCTGGGGCCCAGGGGTGCAGCGTTATCGCCCTACATCTTCATAGCCGTGCAGAGCTTGGCCGCGAACGAGGGAGGGAAATGAGAAGGAGAAGGCCTTCTCAGAAGGCGGCGGGACTTCTCGGAATCCCTCGCGCATTATGAGAAGTTGTTGTGTCTCCCGGGAAAGCATAGAAAACTTCTCAGAATGCCGGGGAACTTCCCGGCATTCTGAGAAGGCCCGCCACTTCTCACTTCCCCCCCTCGCTCGCTGCCGAAGAGCGTCCTCCTGCACGACGTGCTCGATCGAGCCGATGTTCGCGATGAGCTGGCTTTCTTGGTTACCAGAGACGTTCCATATGCCGACGATGCTCTGTTGGCCTCACAATACCAAGAGAACTTGCAGTTCCATGGTGAACGCCACGTCGAGGAAGGCAAGAAGTACGGATTGGAGCCAAACTGGGAGAAAACGATCCAGATGCAAATCTCGACAGGGATGATCATCACGAGACCAGATGGTGGACCCATTTACGCGGTACGGGAACCTGTGTACCTCGGTGGGCTGCTCGCTGCGACGGGAAGGCGTCGCCGGAGCTATCCAGGCGTATTGAAGAAGCGACTGGAGTCTTCAACAAACTACGGAAGATGTGGTCGCATGCCTCCATAGGATTGGCGCGCAAGCTGAAGATTTACGAGGCGTGCGTCCTGAACAAGCTGTTGTACTCCCGCGAATATGTGTGGGTTCCTCCGTGCTGAAAGGTTCCGCTGGGCGCTTTCCATTGCAGAAGCCTGAGGCGCATCTCAGGCATCCCATGCTAGTGCGTGTCGAAAATCAGCAACGAGGAGGTCATGAGAAGAGCTTCGTCTCAGCCACTTTCGAATGTTCTGGCTTCTAGGCAGGTCGCCCAGTAGGGTAAAATTGCGAACAATAGCGACACTTCTTTAGTCAGGGAGGCTCTGTGCAACCCCGACGGCACCCCGCGAAACTGGGCAACCAGGAGGCGACGAGGCCGCCCATACAGCAGTGGGCAACGGAAGTGTGTAGAATGGTTCGGATGCAGTCACATGCTGTTTCTGATTTCGTATCGGCCGTGAAACAACATCTTCCCTCGAATGCACCTGTTTCTACAGATGGCCATGCGGATTGCAGAGAGAGGTGGCTTTGCGAGGCGACTGGCGACAGCTTAGTAGAAGTAGGAGGAGGAGGAGGAGGAGGAGGAGGAGGGAGGAGAAAGCGGGGGAGAAGGAGGAGGAGGCGAAGGAGGAGGAGGAGGAGGAGCAGGAGGAGGAGGAGGAGGAGAGGGGGGAGGAGAGGGGGGAGGAGGAGGCGGGAGAAAGGAGGACGAGGCGGAGGACGATGAGAAGGAGGAAGGAGGAAGGAGGAGGAGTAAGGTGAGGCTTGGGAAAAGGGAAGGTGGGGGCGGAGGAGGAGAACGGAGGAAAAAGGGAGGAGGAGGGAGGAGCGGGGAGGACGAAAATAAATGAGGAAAGAGAAGAGCCACCCCCCGCGAAAGCGCCCCTGCTGACGCTGTAGGTCTCCTGCACGGAGGCGGACAAGCTGATGCCGCCGTGGCCGTCCCGGGCCACCTCAGCTTTTTCGCGCTCGTTGCGACTGGGGGGGCGGGGGCAGTGGGAATAGGGAGTGGAGGGGGGAAGGGGGGGAGTAGGAGAAGAGGAGAAAGAGAAGGAAGAGGAGGAGGAGGAGGAAGAAGGAGAGGAGGGAGCAGAGGAGGAGGAGAATGGGAGGGACGAGGAGTAGGAGGAGGAAGAGGAAAAACATAGAAGCAGCAAACCTTACTCAGGAGCCCAACGGATCTTGGGAACAAAACCTGAATGACTCACACGAGTTCTCGGCGGGTCCTGACACGAGGGGAAATGGGCAAGAGAGCAGGGAAAAACATAGCCCTCAAAGGAAGGATGCAAGTTGTTCTGCGACGCTTGCCCTGTGGAAGCTTCCTGACGCCAATCCGTGCAGCGCCTCCTGGCTGCAGGCAGGCTGCTCTGCGGGACATCTCGAACGCATTGCGTTTCCAAGAACTCATCGGTCTGCCGCGTTTGCGGCGCCCGTTCGGCCAGTGCAAATCGAAACTCGCCAGTGCGAACACACACCACCTCAGAACACTGTCGTCTGGGGGCCTTGCCACTTTACTAATCATAAGTAAGTACGCGACACACGCCAGATGAGCGCTAAGCTTTTGGCTCTGACAGGTTTGCAGCACCGTGGATTGCTGACATGGCTGCAGTATGAGTGCGGTATGCCCGACAGCTTGCGCAGACAGCTCGCTTGAAATCGAGCTAACTTATTACGTTCTGATTAATTCAACCACACAGTGCGCATGCAACAAATCAATCTATACACTATACAGGCGTCAAACATGACGACCTTTCTCTTGAGCGGCATCTCGAGGAGGAACGAGAGGAACAAGAGGAGGAGGGAGGAGGGAAGGACGGAGGGAGGGATGAGAAGGCGAAAAGGGAGGAGGAGGAGGCGGAGGAGGAGGCGGAGGAGGAGGAGGCGGAGGAGGAGGGGGGGGGAGGGAGGGAGGGGGGAAGAGAGGAATGAGGCCAGGAGGAGGGAGGCGCCGGGCGGCCAAGACCACGGGGGGTGTTCTGCGCAGAGGGGCGGCGCCCCAGGCAAACGACGGGGCCGCCCAGGCAGGGACGTTCTCACCGCGCCCCCCTGAGGAGAGGGAGCAGCACGCAGTTGGAGGACGAGTTCGGGCCACCTGTCCTCTAGGGCGGGGCGGCCTCCTGCCTGGCTCGGGCTGCCTCTCCGAGCAGCTGCGCCAGCGGCACGGGAGGGAGGCTGAGCACAATCGGACTGGCCCCCTGAGGAGAGGGAGTCGGCGGAAGAAGAAAGAGAGGAGGAGAGGGTGGCACACAGAGTGCACGGAAGCCTCGAGCCTCCTCGTCATCCTCCATCTGCCTGGTCCTCGTCCTCCCCATCCCCCCTCCTCCTCCTCCTCCTCCTCCTCCTCCTTCTTCTCCTCCTCCTCCTCCTCCTCCTCCTCCTCCTCCTCCTCATCCATCTTCCTCATCCTCCTCATCCGTCTTCCTCCTCCTCCTCCTCTTCCTCATCCTCCTCCTTCGCCCTTCCTTCCTTCCTTACTATCGTCCCTCCCTTCTCCTGCCGTAGGCAAGCCACGCTTCGAGGGGCCCTCCCTTGCATCGAGCGCCTGCGCGCAGGCGGCCGCGATGGAGGACGCTGCGGTCCTCTGCAACAGTGTTGGTCGCCGAATGACTGCAGCGAGTGCGAGGACGCTCGCTCGTCGCCGACGGCGTGAACACAGACTTGAACTCGGAGTACCACGGGCAAAGGTGCTGCAGCGGCGCCGGGTCTTGTTCCGCGCCGGTCTGACACCCACTAGGGTCTGAGCGAGCCGCGGCCACCACCCGCAGAGGGGAGGCGCCCCTTGCTGCCGCCGAGCTCCTGGGGGGCGCCTCGCCCAATCTCCGGGCGTCTGCGGCCGCAGCCTGCGCCGGTAGCAGCTGGGCGCGGCAAGCGCTGCCGTGGGATGTGCAGGTTGTGCCCAAGATGCCGACTGGCATCAGCATCGACAGCCTCGAGAAGCTTCGCGCCGAGTTGTACGTCGGCACGCA